GGAAAATAACCAAACAAAAATCACCCCAGTCACTCGTGCCAGTATCACACTGTTGTGAAGGTAGCCACAACCCAGAGACCACACAGCACACATAGAAAGCCAGCACCCAGTACCCCAGCACTACCTCTGCCAATTCCCAGTGTTGAAAAGGGATAATGAAGAAACAAATTAAAATGACAGGCAGCTCAACACAACCAATACAGAAACTTACACTAACAACCACGAAAAAAAATCAACTTAGTTGGCTAATTAACCAAACACAAAAAAACACTCCGCTATGATGGTCAAGCGGCAGAAAGAAGTAAATCAAATAAAATAATAAACACAAATACTGTTGAAAGGAAATAATAACTGAAGATAAATTCAAGCATGAAAACCAAACTGGACTTAATGGACATATGTTTAAAACAACCAGTGCCAACAAAACAAAACAACGATTTATAACACAGGCAACGTGCAATGAAAGAACGCAAAGGAGCAAAAGACACAAGCAGCCACATAGCACAAAACAAATTAATAAAAAACAAAACAGGAACAACCAACAAATCGAACAAATACACAAAAGGAAAATATATATAACCAAAGTAAAATAAGACAAAAAACATAAGCGGGTCCAACAGAACAGCAGTGGTCCTACGTACAGTGTCACCACAGTCTGCTTGCAGCCGTTAAATATTCCAGACGCCATCTATTATACCGAGGAGTAAATAAAGGTCATATACTACAGCCAATGAAGAGAGCAAAAAAACTTCATAAGACGAACATATTGAGCAGGCAACATCCACAATCACATGTGAGCGAGGAAAGAAAACAGCATACCGGTGTCACACTAGGAGAGAAACCGTCCTGCTACGATCGAAGCTGTGCGCACTCCGCCTTAGATCAGATTTACTACGCTGCATGGCTATTACAAAAAAACAAACAAACAATGATGGAACATAGCGCAAAAAACACGAGACAGCTACTACTGCTACCTCACTCACGCTAGTGCTAACGAGTCGGAGGAAGTGGGAGAACCCGGAAGTAGGCAGTGTCGAAGACGGCAAGCCAAGGAATGCCCTAAATGGCACCTAAGCCGTATATAGGGTGCCCTCGTATGGATGACTGGTAAACATGCTAAACACGCAGCACATCCCCCTGTGTAATAAAAGGTTCTCCACCTGCTATAATAGGCTGATTATTGCACTCAGATTGTCCATATGGTAGATCCAGCCATACCTAGAACACACTCCCAGACTCAGATTCCCGATCCCACATCCCGCTGTAGCCCTTCCCAAGATCCGACACCCGCTTTGTTTTCCTGTGACTTTCCCCTGTTCTCATGGCAAAATGACAGTCTTGTTATTTTACCTCGTCTCTGTTCCCTTACGCTCATCTCTCTGTGTCATGACCCTTGGTCCATTTGTCATACAAACTGATAATACAGTAGGCCTATATTAATTAGAGATACTGTGAGGCTGAAAATGTGAATTCAGTTGGTTGTTGTCCCCACAGGTGCTGACAGTGTGTCCTCAGTGAGACGGGTGACTGTACAGAGTGGAGGATCTGTCACCATCCCATGTTTATATGAAGACAGACATAAAGACCATGTGAAATACTGGTGTAGAGGGATTGACTGGCGGTCATGTACTACGATAGTACGCACTGACTCTCCACAGAAGAAGGATGACGTGTCAATCAGAGATGACCCTGACCAGCGAGTCTTCACTGTGACCATGAACAATCTGAAAATTGAGAACGATGATATCTACTGGTGTAGTGTGGAGATCAGTGGAGATTTTGATGATGGTGTTTCGGTTAACCTGTCAGTCAGTGATGGTAAGATGTCTGTACTGCAGACTGTAGCCAATGAGACACACAGTATGTAACATGTCACTCAGTCAGAAAGCAGGGACATTAACACAAACGTAGAAGGAAAAAATCTTTCAGAAAATATTGCATTTCAAAATATTATTTATTTAGAACAGATGCCAAATTTTACTTTTGTTCCATAGTAAATCTGAGGGGCAACTTAAATAGGCTGCTTCATGGGTATTAATATGATTAATATGTCAAGATATTAGGGGTGGGAATTATATCGATATTTGTTTGCTAATTTTATGTGTACTCAATTTTTAAACACATTTCGCATTAGTCCGTTTCGGGTCTACATTTAATGTAAAGACACGGGCTGTAACGGTAGGCCTACACTATTCGTCGTGTACGCATGCCTTTCTGTTACAGCATTTTCAGTTTGCAACACGCAATGGAACGAATTAATACATTTCTTGACACGGGAGACACCTAAATTCAGAAGTACATGCTCCACGTGGAAAACATTATGCTAAATGTGTCTGTGAGCTGGTTATGGCTGGTGCTGTACAGCTCAGAGACCCTCAGACATCGCTGAAATCTGCAGTTTGGCAATATTTTGCCTTCGCAATAAATTATGACAAAATGAGAGACTGTGGTTGTTAAGATTGTCTGTCGGCTCTGTTAAACCGAACTCGGGTATTTTTTTGCAAACTCATCCAACATGCTAACTCATTTGAGACGACATCATCCGAGTGTGAGATTCTGGCAGGAAATTCAGACCGGGCTAAAAAAATGACTAATGCTACGTTCACACTACATGATTATAGCCCCAATTTTCTGCTGGCCGTAAGTTTTTACCGATGGCCAACAAAAGCCCCAGACCGGAGACACATCTGTGTTCGCTTGGCGCTGGCAAACCGGCGACCGATCGCTGTTAGTGCACAGACGTGACTGGACGGAGTCGCCGGTGCGTTGCAGATGCCCGTCAGATACCTACAGTACTGTATCAGGCTAAATGTCTGCACCTGTCACAACTCCGATTCCTGTAGGTGTGGGAAGTGTAACCCTGGTTTCTTGATGAGTGGGTAGCGTGTGCCAGTCTCCCTCTCGGGCTGTGGGTAGTAAGCGGGCTACAGTTTCTCTAACGATTACGTTTAATAATCACCAACACGGCAGCACAACACCTTCCAACTTCTTTCCCCA